GTTATCTAATCACGCTTTCATGTTAACAAACTTTATTTATATATCTCTTTTATAAAAAGGCAATGAAGGCTCAAATAATTATAATTTTCATTTGAATGCGACTTTTACATTTAAGCTTATTTTAACTACACTTCTAGAAAACGATGTTTTATAGTTATATGCTAGCCTACTTATATTTGGTAAACTGTTGCGCTCACGTTTGTTTAACAAATCAGTGGACGCGCTTAATTTGAAATAGCGTAGATCTGCGCGTGTGCAACATAGGCTACCAATCGTTTCAAATTTACCAGGCCAATTGACAAATTGACATATTTGTCACATTGACAGTAATAAGATAATACAAATTGAGTGAAAATATTTTTCTTACATTTTCTGACGGCAGTCCAGGAGTCTGAAGTTGATTCCTCACGCGTGTGCTTTCACTAATCTATGATCATCAGCAGTAAGTGTTTTATGGAGGTGGGCGGAGACTGATTCCAGTGTTATGGCATTCGGTGATTTTGGAATTTTCGATGGAATCCGAAAGTGATACGCAAAACATATACATTTTTTAAAACCTTTATAAACCTTTACAAATATTAGGTTGTTTTTTTCCCACTAGGATAAAGTTCTTTTAACTTTAAACAGACATCTCGTCTGTGCATCATTTTCTTGCCCCAGCAACAACAACAACACATACACACACACACAAACACACACACACACACGTGTGTGTTTGTGTGTGTGTCGTTGGGGCAATAAAATGATGCACAGACGAGATGTAATTTATATATATATAAATTACGTACATTATTAATATTCACTGGAATAAAAAGAGTTGCAAGCCCGATCTTATTTAGACTATATATTTACAATCTATCTCACACACACACACACGCACACACATGAGTGTGTGTGTGTGTGTGTGTGTGTGTACCTGTTTTTCTATTCTGGTGGGGACTTAAACCTGAATACACATAGACTCATGGGGACTCGTGTCACGGTGGGGACCTAAATTGAGGTCCCCACGGGTAAACAAGCTAATAAATCACACAGAATGAAGTTTTTTGAAAATCTAAAAATGCAGAAAGTTTCCTGTGAGGGGTAGGTTTAAGGGGTAGGGTTGGTGTAGGGCAATAGAATATACGGTCTGTACAGTAGAAAAACCATTACGCCTATGGAGAGTCCCCACAAGGATAGCAAACCAGACGTGTGTGTGTGTGTGTGATAGATTGTAAATATATAGTCTAAATAAAATCGGGCTTGCAACACTTTTTATTCCAGTGAATATTTCTGAGAGTAAGTTAAGTCAAAAGTTTATAGGAGGCATTATTATTTAAAATAACAAATGGATGATGATGATGATAATAATAACAACAATAATAATTATAATAAACAATAATACTTTACATTTTATTTTTTTAATTTAGATTTTAATGAAAAATTATAGGCTATTTTTATTTCAATTTTACAAAACATTTTATATTTATTTCTATTTCTTATTTTATTTTATTTTGTACGCATCTCTATTTATAAATGCATTAATAATTGAAAAGGTTCACTCATTTAATTAATGTTTTGTGCTTTGTCTATAGAGTAGCTTTAGTATCTTGTCAACATTATTTTTAACTGAGCTCTAATGAGTCACAGTGCTTCTAACGTGTAATTGCATATCAAAATTCATTATGCAATCATAGTATCATTGCAAAGCACATTAGAGAATGATAAAATATCTGATTCGTTAAGTGCACCCAAAGCAATTTATCCACAGGGCATTAATCTAACAGCACAGGGCCAGCGAGGGACTGATCAGAGCTCCAGTTACACCAAGCATTACATTCTGTACATTCATGGCCATTATCTGTACAACATATTTCCCTGGTGTGAGATTTGGACCCATTAGACCATCTGTACAGTTAAGAAATATGCTGCAAATCCCTCAGCATCATATATTGAGTTAATCCTCAGGGAATCACTTCACGCAGTCATGCCAGTAATGCCGAGTTCACACTGCACGATTTTCAAACTCGTCGGATCGCCGTTGTTTTCACACTGCGTGACTATCTGGGGTAGCATTCAGTTGCTGCTGTGTTCACATTGCACGATGGATCGGCGGCAGGGGGGTTCACAATGCATGACTTCACAATAGGAAGAATCGCCGACAGCTCTGTCTGGTCCGCAAACTACATTTCACAACAAAACACACGCAAGAAGGGATAAGGAAATAACGCGAGAACCCGCATGCGTCAGACTCGTTCTCGAGCGAGACTGGAATTATTTTAAATATATATACAGCCCGCAAATAGTCTGTGAGCAGATTTCCAGCTACAAGGAGAAAAAGAAAAACAGATTACGCAGGAGGGAGATGCAGGGAACAGGGATTGGGTGTTCTGCAAAGAGAGTTGGAGGTAAATAATTTAGCAGTAACTGTTATGCTGATGTTGTGGCTGATCAAGCAAATGTTTGTGCTTGTTTCTGTATGATATAATTGTTCATATATCTATTAAAATACTGATACTCTGGTCTATAACTCCTCCCCGAACT